CATGGGCAAAAGAGGAGGACAAACTGGCCAGTGTCATTTCCTGTTAAGGAATTTGCAAACATTAGCTTCAATTAGCGCATAGAGGAAGAACATTATCTGAGGGCTCTTCTCTTGGGTCCACTCCTTTCTCATAGCTCATCCCCACAAGACTCCAGCAACGCATTAAAAACATCTCTAACACATTTAAAAGCCAATGTATCTGTACCATCTCATTATCAGCCACAAATGACTAAATAATTAAACCTCAATGTCTGCTAACAGCCAGAGAAAGATGTCAGCCTTTGACCACAGTCTAGAGTTACACTGAACTATACATTTTTCAAGATATAATTTTTAGCCATCATCTATTCATTCCGATTTGCCTATGATGCCCAACAGTGCCATCTAGGTAGGCAGTTTACTATGTTAAGAAACAGGAAAATATAGAAATATAGAGGATTCCAGAAAGACACTTACACACTACTGTCCGTCATGGACATCGAGTCATCTGTCAGGGCATCACTGGAGACCTCGCTGTCGTTGGCACTGGTGGCAGGGGCAAAACTATAACCGGATGCAACACGATAGGGGTTTCCAGGGTCGCTGCGTCTGTAGGACCTACAGGAACAACAAACAATCTTGGTTTTAGTTTAAAGAGTGGTACAGTGGTTAAATTTCAAGGCTGGTAACTGGAAGGTTGCTTGGTTGATTTATGAACTCACAAATGAGGCATTTGCAAGACACTAGATTACTCAAAGGGAACTGAACTTGGAAGGCCCGAACGTGTATCACTTTCCGAAATGTGTTCCGCTGCATTCTAAGCTTTGCCACAACGGAACTACAGTGTGCAATAGCGTAAACTGACTCAATCACTCAGTTTTCTCTTTCAGGTAAACTAGTGGCATGGCAGAGCAACAGTTTAAAAAGGAACTTAGAAACAGTGGCAACTTCACTAACTTTTGCCATCTCAAAGTTGACGCATCCAGTTAACGGGACAGACATCTGAAGGTAACTTGTTTGCCATCTTGACTACTGAGGTTTGTTACCACCACAGTAATGCAAAAAAGTATGTCAAGTATGAACAACGAGACCACACATATGTACTTGCCTAGACTGTGATTCTGTCCCTAACGATATGGATAAAAACATCAGCTAAATGATAAAAGAAAAGAAAAATTGTTACAATATCATCCAAATTTTGAGAGCAAAAGGAGGAAAATATCACATTGCAAATGCAAACTGCTTCTAACATGGCTTCTCTTATGTTTGTGAAAAGGGTCCAGCTATCTTTTACTAGTCTTTTTTCTTTTTGGTGGGGGGAGGAATTCAAGCTCAGTTTGTCTTTTCTCTACTCTTCCCTTTCATCTCCCTTAACCCCCACCCCAGCCAGAGGATTGATCAGGGGGAAAGTTAAGTGAGCAGCACATCTGTGTGAATTGCCAATGCCACTTCCCCTCAGTGGAGCATATCTGGGGTCTTTTGTCTGGGCCACGCACCCTGTTCCTCACTTTACCTCCCCCTTCCAAACTTTCCCGTTTCATGTCATTCCTCCTCTTGTGCTCTTTCCTCTGCTAAGGGCACCTCCTCCACATACCCACCCAGGCCACCCCTCCCTCCGATCTCTCCCTCTCCATACCCCTCTCTCCTGCTCCCCCTCTGTCCTTCTTTTCCGCTCGCTCAAAAAGTGTGCTTATTCTCCATCCATCGGGGTTTTTTCCTAGATAAAAGTGCGAAGAGAGGCAGTTGAAATCAGAGGAGAACGGTGGTAAATAAGAAACGGTGGAGATGAAGGCCACGGTCTCTGTGACTCACAGAGGAACCGCTGCTGCGTGTTGTTTTGTGAATAACTCGATTCAGAAACACAGAAAGGGAGAGAAATAAGTTCCACATGCTTCAGATGAACAAAAAAAGTGCCCCGAGAGAGAGAGGGAAAACAGACTGCTCAAGGAGCATTCTTCGAAAAGAAATCAGGGAATAACATCAAAAAAGAGACTTTGCTTACTCTCATCTGGTTCTTAATCATCTCCTACATAAACAACCTGACAAAGATAAGCAGAGATGAAACATTCTGTCACCTTCTTCAAGATCACCCTCCCAACGGGCCGTCTTTGAGACAGAATTTGTCTGGCACCACACCTTGATGGGTCACACAAGTTGTGTGACAGGTGCTAATTCATCAAACCAGATTTCCCCTGGTGTTTTGTTAAACCCCGACAATATACTTTTTTTGAACAACCAAACCAACAGCTCGTCATCTGACATCTGAAGGTGTCAAACATTACAAAGTACAGTAACAGAGCTGGTCTAAACACAAACTGCTTCAATCAAAATAAGCAAAATCTTGTGAGCAATTTGATGAAGTACTTGGTTTTGTTAATAGCAAAAGCAAAAAAAGTTTCATTTTTGGATTAGTGACATTTCTGATGTGTGCCACTTCTTTTATCCGTTTGACGGCTAAAACCAATGTTGCATTGTGAACTAGCCTTGATCCTTGAAGATGATCCTCTAACGGTGGAAGAATTTCAAAGCAGAGGAAACTGTGTGGAGCCAGCAGAGGGCCTGGTGCTAGACAATATTTACATGAAAGGAAGAGCTGCTTTATTGATGTTTTTTTCCCCTTCTCTCTCTCTGCGTAATGCAAGCCAGGTGAGAGCAAACGGCCCCAAACTTGGAAGAAAGGGCCTCTCATGTTTAATGCAAGAACTCAAGAGCAATAGCTACACAAATCTAAGTAATAATTAAAGATTAAAGTTCAAACAATCTTTGTGATGCTTCAACCTACAACTTTCCAGCTACCACACTAGATCTTTAATCACTAGGCTACAACCCATAGGGTGTCCGATACATGAAGCAGTATGAAGCATGCAGCAGTAGGAACTTTGTTACTTTATGGTGGCAGCATACAGTAGTTAAGTAAGTGAAAAATAATTGTTGGGATGTCTCACCTGTAGCCCTTCTCCAATGCTTCCACTGCACGAAGGGATGGAGGTGACCGTAACGCTTTGGCAGACAGTCCCACGACAGTGGCCAAAGCTTTGGCTTTAAAGTCATTACAACTCCATTCTTCCTCTTCATTTAGAGTCGGCAAGTATCCGCACACCAGCTTTAGACCTCCTAGTCCGTTGGGATTCATATGACTGCCGTTCTCGCACCCGGTTCTGACATACTCAAGGTATATGTCTGAGGTCAAGAACATCTGATAGGCGTTCTCCTCCATAGAAGTCTGGATCTCCATTTGAGCCTGATCAAACATTGCAGAGTCAATCTGCTGACGCTTAATATTATCCCTAATAAAGGTCTTAGTAGCAGGTTTAAGCTGCTTGGCCACAACGCTGTTGTTCTCAATATACCGCTTGTAAATGGCTTTGGCAACTCTGTGTGTTTTGGCATCCTTGAGGTCCATTTGCCTGAAACCATTGCAGGCGAACCAGAAATCTAAAGTGTCCTCGCATTTCTCGCGTTCAAGATATGCCCGGAAAAGTTGAGCACCGTCCTGATCCCCAAGAAGGAAATGCAAAGATTTGGTCCACCGGGCAAGAGGGGAGTCCGGGGATGCACTGCCCTCAGGTTCCCCAAGTCCATCATCATCCCTCCTTGCTGTGGAACAGCGAAGATCAGCCATAATGGTTTTCACAGGATCCTTCGGTCTCATCATGGCCAGTTTGCTGGGATGGTGGCATGTTGTCTCACCCTCTTCCCCTGGGACCGGTGGACGTGGGTCATCTTCTCTGAAGCTACTGACCATAGGATCTGTTAGTGTCCTATTCATGGCTCCTGCAGCTCCAGCAGCAAAGCCTTCAGTGTGAAGCTCAGCTGTAAGCTCCTCTCTCTCTTAAATCAGCAGGGGAGCTTCTCTCTGAAACACAAAGTATTGATCTCATCAAAACCAGATCCGCCCCAAAACTTCAAAAGAGTCACTTCAGACACTTATAGCTTTACATTGTGCGCGCTTGCGGTGTACAATCGGCTTTGTGGAACGCAATCTAAGCGACCCGGTTTATATTCAATGCAGGCACTATTAGATTTTTTAAAACTTTTTTTTTTAATCAGCTAAAATCAAACATTTTCGGAGCGGATTATTTATTACATCTTTCTCATTCAAGCCCAGTTTGAATAACCACTGTATTTGTAATAAATAAGTACAAATAAAAATCAGTCATAACTAAACTCCAAGTTTAAAAAGAAGGCAAAATACTAAGAAAGCGAGTTTTAAAAAGGCAACATAAGCGAAAACAATATCGCTTTACTGTTTGCGATGTTTAATTATGCACATAAATGTCGCGTAAAACTCGACTCGTGACGATGAGATCGAAACGCACAATAATGTAAACCTATTTTATCAACAGCATGCTTACTTATCTGTAAAGTATAGGCTTAGCATTACAACATCAATACTTCATTGACTACTCTTCATAGTGAAAGTAATCGCTTCACGTACATTAAAACTACACACATTTATAATACTAAAAATAATCATAATATAGTACAAAACTACACTTCTGATGACATAAATGATCTCACATGCATAATAGAAGATACATTGCATTGCAATATATAGAAGTCTAAAACACATGCACATTAAAGACACGTCTTTAAACTATTCGTTCAGTTTTGAAAGATGAAACAACATATTAAAGTCGTCCCTTACGGATATAAAGAGTGATCGAATCCAATCCATGAGAAATACGACACAACATGCCGCATTCAACTTCAAACCCCTCAAGAAAAACAAAAGTGTGAGATCACAGGGGGTTGAAGTCCCGTAACACTATCATGACAGTTCTTTAAACACAGCCGATCTAACCTCAAAACAACACAATAAGAAACATACCGAAAACACGCGTTTTAATGGAATGTCTATCAGATATACTGCATTTCACAGCGACACATGACTTCAAAGTCGGTAAACAGCACATCAAAGCAATAGCGTGGGGCCAGCGCTGGGAGAACACACACACATACACACACACACACTGCTCTAACTCACCATCCATCCATGAGTTCGGTCCCCCAAATCCCAGTTTTCCAACAAAATAACAAATATATTCCACTATATATCCAATTGCACGCAGTCTTCCTGTCCTCTGATGTTGTTTAGTGTCAAACGGAGATTTTAGGTTTTAAACGTAAACTTCCTCCCGTGAAGAGCACACTAGATCCCTGTATAGCGTGTTTGAATGTGCTCTAGTCTCTTATTCCAGTGTGGATTGAGCTCAGGGTTTAAGAGCGGACATCAAAGAGCGCAGCCGACCCAACGGTCCCGACAGATACATACATTATAATTTCTCTCATTCCCGCTTTAAAACAACATAGATCGCTCCAGAATGGTCTAAAGCCATATATTTCTTTGTTTTTACAAGCCCTATCGATGCCTCTATCCCTAATGCCCTCAATGAGTCGCTGTAAAGTGCCTGTTCGATAAAGTCCGTCAGGGAAAAGTTTCAACTGAGGCGCAAGGACCTTATCAAAGCAGAGAGATCTTGAGCCGACTCCCCTCGAGCTGTGGAGCGTCAGGAGTAAGTGATCTGCAGCGCCGCGATCCAGAAACTTTAAAGACACGGGCCGCTTTTTCCTCTGAGGACTCACAGTTAACCCTTTCATTGCTATTTTCAGTTAACCCTTTCATTGCTATTTTCAGAGTTAACCCATTCGTTTCTGCGTTCACACATAATTTGGAAAATTTGCAATCCAAAAACCTGTTGGAGAATTAGCCTTTTTGAGCAATGTGCTCCCTCTGGATTTTCCTTTGGGGTTTAAAGTAAAATAGTGTCAGTGGTTAACACTTTTTACATCATAAAATAGTCACACCTCAAATGTGCATTAATGCTGCTTTTTTTTCTTCTTTTTTCTTTATATAACGAGCAGCTAACATTTCAGCTGTTATGAAATGAAGCTGAAATGGTCTCTTCAGGTTCAAAGTATCTTTTAAACACATACATTAATTTACACCAATTTTATAAATCCAAAACCACTATTCTTGAAACCATTCAAAACTCCTGAGAGAATGCATGGTCAAATACAATTATGTGTTGGCCTATAATTTGACGTTGTGACCGAACAGCACAGTAAAAACAATTCTGTTCAAAAGTGTTGTTGCTGATGAATTAAGGACTAGAAACTAGGATAGAATAGTTCACTCAGAAATAAAATTCGTATCATCATTTTATGAGTCATTTTCATATTGCTCCACTCTAGTGCTGTTTTCTTTCTACAGTGGAAAGCAATGAGAATCTCTGACCAGCTTTTTTTCTAGTAAATGATGACAAAAATTACATTTTCAGGTAAACTATTCCTTTAATTAAACGTCAATACTGATATTTTATGACAGTCAAATAGAAAAAAGTCTATTGTAGACATTTACATTGACGATTAAAGGAATAATTCACCCAAAATAAAAATTCTGTCATTTACTCACCCTATGTCGTTCCGAAATATGGATTTCTTTCTTCTGTATAACAAAAAGGAATATATTTTGAAAAATGTGTTGTTGTTGTTGTTTTTCTATACAATGAAAGACAATGGAGTTCAGTATTCTTCAAAATATCTTCTTTTGTGTTCTGTAGAAGACAGCAGTGCATACAGGTTTTGAACAGCATGAGGGCGAGTAAACGACTGTAAACTTTTCATTTGTGGGTGAACTACCGCTTTAAGACATGATGAGGTTAGTTAAGACACCACAAAAGTTCGAAGTAGGCTACTTTACAGTAGCAGTATACTGTAGTTAAAAGTCCTTCTCAACTAAAAAAGTGAAACTACCAGAAAAGCTTGTCCTGCATTTCGAACTAGTGAGGGAGGACGTTCCACTGATTCCACTCATGATACTTCAAAGGCTTGAGCGCTTCCTTTGATGTTCTACATTCACTTTAAGGAGCAGGATATTATAAAATACATGCATTAGTGCTAAATGAGATGAATTTAAAGAGCAGATGTGAGGCTTTGTCTACATTGCTGTCATACCATGGTGAGCAGAACATAAAGCACATTTTAGAAAATAATCTTCAAGACACATTTTTAGAACGACAGAGTTTCCACACAGCTTTACTCACTTGCCTCTATCTTCACATCTTTCACAATAATCAAATGTTTTGTCTATGGTGGAAACCATCCACAAATGAGACATACATTGTAATGCTCTATTCTAATTCTAATGGCAGTAGGAAGTCATTGTCCAGGCATAATCATCCAGGATGTATCATTTACAGGCTCATAGAGATTCATACGTATCGTTGGTTAACACTGCAAACTAGCTTGATGTGCAATTGCCTATTACTGATCAGACCCAGTAAAACCCAATTTAATAACTAATAATTAGAAAGAAAAAAAAGTGTTAAATTAATATCTCAAAAGGAAACACCAGTATTAGATTTTTAGTGGAACCTGTGCACACTTTATAAGTACCTTATAAAGTTAACGGCCAATGACCAAAGCCAGTTTTGTATTCCCGTTTGGTACTTGCTGAGTATTCATTTTGGAGCGGCTAAAGTGAGTGCGTCTGCTGCTCCGTGATGAACGCTGTGATCAGTAACTGCTCTCAATGACTGTATTGTCTGCCTGCTCTTTCAGCTCAGGGCTAAACTCTCAGCAGTTTGCTTTGAAGTGATTATCCCTTTATCACAAGCCTGAGCAAAGACTTTAGGGAGAACAATGGAAAATGAAAGCAAGTAGGAGGCTTATGGCAATTATCACAGACATCCACCAGGAGTGACGTGTGAATGTCCACTTTGTGAATGTCTGATGTGAGTGTGTGCAGGGGTCGGGGGGAGGAGGAAGGCATAGACCAACCCGATCTCATGAAAGTGCGTATAAATAGTATGCCAAATAAAAACGAAAACTCGTGGTATTTATATGCAAAAATGGACTTTGGCGTGTATATGCTACGCGATGGGAAGGTTTAGGGTTGTGGGGTAGATGCGTATCATATGTACGCGAAAACTGCGTATCATATGCACGCCAACAAATTTCGTATCATATGCACGCGAAAACCGCGTATTATATGCATGCCAAACACATGCGTATCATATGCACGCCAAAGTCCATTTTTGTGTCTCAATACCACGAGTTTTCATTTTTATTTGGCGTACTATTTATACGCATTTTCATGAGACCGGGCTCCATAGACACAGGGAGGCAACAGAAAATGAAGCAGATCATGATTTGCATGGCATACACAGAGCAATGACCAAGCTTTTGGAGGAAATGATGGCTTAGGCAAATAAAGAAGATCAGTCTGAGACAATATCATTAAAGGCACAGTGCATCGAGAGAGAGAGAGAGAGAGAGAGAGAGAGAGAGAGAAAGAAAGTTCTGTCATCCTTTACTCATCCCACCTCTTTCCAAACCCATGTGACTTTCACAAAAGGATATATTAAGCAGAATTTCCAAGCGGCTCTTTTCCAAACAATGAAAACATAAAGTGACCAGGGTCTGTCAATCTCTAAAAAGTGCCATAAAAGTATCTTATTAGCACAATAACAGTAATTATAATACAACTTGTGCATTGTACTTGTACAAAAGAAACCACAATTCTGCATATTCAAATCTATTTAAGTGTTGTGGCCACGGTTGGGGTTAATGCATTACAAGTAAAGTGAGTTACTACAGATTACTTTTTTCAAGTTACTAGTAAAATACTGCATTACTTATTAATTTATAAGAAAATATCTGAGTAACTTTATTTCTTAAAAAGTAACGCTAGTTACTTTATTTTCCCATTTATTGACTGACAGAACATGCATTTATTCATAGCATTTGCACAAAAACAGATTCAGTATTCCTCAAAATGAATCAAAACACTGAAATGCAAATTCTAAATATGAATTATAAAATAAATATGCAAACCTGCAATAATTAAATATGCTAAATAACATAAATATCCTTTATGTATTTGATCCCATTTTGTTAACCAATATCTTTGCTGCTGACCTTCGATGTTCCAATTCAGCCACACTAATGAGAAAAAATGACTGTAGATAAACAAGATTTGTGTTCTATTTTTATTGATTGATTTATTTTATTATTGCTAAATAGTGTTGAACTTTCTTCTCCTGCATCCTCTACTGTACAGATGTGAATTTACATTTCCATCAGCCTGAGTCTTATTCATTTCACTTTTGGTGTGAAAGTGCTTTTACGTTTGCCGAAAATAGAACTTTTTTTTTATATTAAAAACAAACGAGCAAGCCCAGCTAAGATAAGAAAAAGTAACACAAAAGTAACATAACGCACTGCTTTCCATAAAAAGTAACTAACGCAATGGTTGTAGTAACTTTCCCCAACACTGTTTGAGGCAAAACATGATAACGACACATTTAGTCAAAACTGAGATACAGCTGAAATCAGATCCCTGAGCCAATAATCTGATGTGTTTTGCTCCGCTATGTTCAGATTCATAAATGGAGTGTGAAAATTGATATCAAATGAATAAAAATTAAATAAAAAATGTTTACATTTTTTTTTTGAATTTGTAGGTCGGCATTGTTTGTATAACTTCAGAAGATTTTTTTGAGACATTGTTGTATGGACAAGAACACATGAGTTAATTCTGCTGAACTTCTCCTTTTGTGTTCCACAGAAGAAAGAACGTCATAATGGTTTGGTAAAATGAGTAAATAATGACAGAATTTTTATTTATGGGTGAACTCTTTAAGTGTGCAATGTGTCAAAAGAAGGGATGACTGGACCCAAAAAGAGAAAGAACTGTTAGTGTAAGTCCAGTAAGTGCAGTCAGCAGAATCAGATGGCATGCAGGGTGCTGGAGTACATACAATTAAAGTGTGGCATTAAGATGGACTTTGAAGTTAGACATGGTGTCTTACACCCCTCCAGATGAAGAGAGCAACAATTCAGCTGCTTGTTATGGGCTTTTAAGAGGTTCGTGTTAGAAATGGGAGATTTAAAGAAAATAAACTTGAATTTCGTCCTGGAATGGCCTTTGAGGTGATAGCAGCAGTGGGACGCTGTCAGGAACATGGTAGCTATTTGAAGCTGGTTTAGTCAGCTAGTTTGGTTTAGAAGGGTGAACTCATAAATGAACTAAGTGAACTAAGTGTGCAATGTGTCAAAAGAAGGGATGACTGGACCCAAAAAGAGAAAGAACTGTTAGTGTAAGTCCAGTAAGTGCAGTCAGCAGAATCAGATGGCATGCAGGGTGCTGGAGTACATACAATTAAAGTGTGGCGTTAAGATGGACTTTGAAGTTAGAC